TGCATGAGAAAATAGTGCATATTGGACGTGAAGAAGGAAGCAAGTTGCACGTGGGGAAAAAAACGACGCCTGATTTAAATAGTCACACTTGAACGCTCACATCCTTTTAATTATGTTTGAAATTATGAACATTGCTCAACATCATGAAAATTAAACCTTATTTTCAATAAGCAATCCTGAAAAAGATTTGGGGGTGCTTAACTTTTTTCCTAGGTGTATATATATATATGTCATTGACCTTTAATCCCTCAAAGGAACATAGTACCAGAAAACCATACAGTGGTCATTATTTTATATATATATATTTAAAATTTGCTTTAAAGTCTGTTTGTTTGTTTTTTCTTTAGAGCAAAATCACATTGGGCTATCTGCTGTGTCTACCATCGAGAATCAAACTTTGGATTTTAGTATTGCAAGTCCATAGACTTACCACTGTCTCACAGATGGACACTTTATAAAGTTCACTTCAGTAAGTACATAATATGATAATACAATAAAAGTTAAGTGTTTACTTCAATTGTGGTAGCTCTTTCACAACATTAAAGCCAATAAGAACTTCAACCTTCTTTGGAGTCTGAACTGGAGTGGAGGGGTCACTGATATCCACTGATTTTTTCCTTTTCACTCCTGGAAGTACTTACCCAAATTGCATGAAACTTGCAACAAACATAGGTAATATTATCTAAGTTTCATTTTGAAAATTTATATAATTCTTTAAGTTGTGATATTTTCAGAGTTTTATTGTAAGACACAGTTTTGAAAATACTTCCTTTTATTTTACAATTTCAAATTATTAATGTTCATCTGAAAGTTCCATTTTACACATCTAGTAATTTTTAACCCAATTGTTATACATTAACATACTTATTTTGATACTTTATTTTGTTGAGAGCAGTAATCTCTACTTCCAGCTATAAGCTGAATGATCTGTGACCCAGAACCTGACCTTTCAAAATTGCTAACAATATTCTAGGTCATTATCAATTTATATCTAATAAATATACTTTCTTTTCAATCAATTATAAGCTCTTTTGTTTATATGCATTATTTGAATAGAATAAACTTAAATAATATTCAATAAATACAGATTTGATTCACTGGAATGTTTTGTCAGTGTCTATCATACTCTCTAAACCTAAAAAAACACAAAAATATTTTCAGAAATGAAATGACAAAAACATCTAAAGAAACTTAGTAAACAAATTCTGGATCTTTGTTTTCATCCTAAGTCTTCTCATCTTCCTACTACATTCAGTTGTTGTTTTCTGTACTAATTAAGACTTGTCATTTTACAAAAAATCATGAATTAATTCTCAAACAATGACTATTTATGTAAATAGTTATAATCTGCTCTATCCAATGATATTTAAACTTTGTCTGCAGCTACTTTAAAAACTGAGTTTCATTAATAGTTGTTAAATCACCTGCTGTGAGGTTGAGAGGTTGTTCTAACAAAATATGAATAATTATATTCTCAATGGATGATAGTTTTTTGGCAAATATAAACATATGCTTTGGGATGGGAAAAAAAAAGGGAAACAAAAGAAAAAAAGTTCATGTAAAGTTCATATTTTTTATGCACACATTTGTAAAAATACCAAGAAGACTCAAAGGGACTGTTAGTGTGATTTTTAACATGTTTAATCTTAATCTATGATTTTCAGTTTGTCTAGTATAAAAGTTTTTTTTTACAAATTGAATATCTTAACACACAAAAAGTTTGTAAAATCAAGTTGAGCCATAAAAATCACATTTCCTTGTCTTTTGGCTATTTCTTTAGCCTTTTTTTTAATAATCTAAAGTACATAACTGAAATCTTTATTACTACAAGTTATAATTACTGTTTTTAAATAATACTTATTATTATCATTGGTACAGTTATCAAACTTATAAGGTTGGCAAAATAATCGGTTAAAACTTTTTCCTTGTGTAAAAGCACTAATAATCAGTGGTGGAATAGAAAAGAAATTACTTAAAAAACCCAAGATGTAGACTTAATGCAGTACACAAGACCAAACACATGCACACACAAAGTAAATCACTTAGAATTTTTTAAATTCATTTTTTTTAAAACAACTCACTATAAAATTTTTAAATTTATTAATTTCTGGCACAGAATTCAAATAATAAGTTGAAATAAAAGTTAAAGTAAGTTTGTTCTTATTAATCTTTGGTTTAATTTGTTTTGTATATAAAAATGCATCACCTATAATTTTTTCTGCATAATTTTACAAGATAAAAATATCTTTAATTCATAGTCTCACCTCTCTTTTTATTATAATTACTTACAATTATTATAATTCTTTTAACCACGTTAAGTGGAATATGCATGTTTTATAATGAGAACATTATAAAAAACATAATTGTTCCTTTTCATAAGTAAAAGTAGTATTATCATTAACAGCATTCAAGATATCCTTGAACAAGTGTAGATCTTTTTAATTTTCACTATAAAGCAATTATCAAAATAATGATACCAGTTATAATAAATATAATCCTCCATTACTCTGCCATTTACTAAAGAATACATTTTTAATTCAAGAAAATCTATAACATCTAATAGATTCTGGTTATTGTAATTTCCATTGTAGCATCTTTAAGTTGTCTATAGATTTTCTTAATGAAAATAAAAACAATTGCTTTGAATGAGTAGAATAGCATCTGATACAAACTGTAAAGGAATTTATGATGTAAATGTTCATAAAAACATCTGAGGTGTGCGTTTAAGGTAATTACATTTTAAATGTTAAGCTCAACCTCAGGATTTGGTTGTTGACCAAAATAAATCACTATTTTGCAATTTGAGCATATCAAAATTATCAAAGACTGAAATGAAATGTCATTTCAGCATTTGTCCAAATTATTTTGCTAAAGCTGCATAATTTAAAGTATCAAATGAGCAAAGAACAAAACAGAAAAATGAGAAAGCTGCTTAGGTATTTGTGTAAAATGATTTAAAGAAATTACAGTTCAAGAACTCCAGTATCTCCAAGGACAAACACTGGAATAACACTTCATTTTGGTCTTTGATAATTTTGACATGCTCAGATCATGAAATGACCAAATACCGAGACTGGGTGTAAAATATACATATTTTTAAACATGCTTAGAACACTCATTGGGGCTGTTAGTATGATTTTTAACATTTGATTTGGGAAGATTTAATCTTACTCTGAGATTCATAACTTACTTTTTTTTTTACAATCTTATGTTCAAGAAGTTAAAATTATCTAAAAGATGGTATGGCTATTTTTTAAATAAACTTTGGGAGAAAATTGGCCATGAAACTACTTAAGACTTTTGATGTTTTTTCTATACTAGTATTGATCATCATTTCAGTTACACAGCAATTAAATACTTTTTTTTGTTTACCATTTTGGGAATGTAGATGTAATGAAAAAGATTAATTTATGAACAATATTTTATCAAAAACTTAAAAATTACCATTGAATTTACAACACGTTGAAATATAAAAGTCAGTTTAAGAAGATATAACCACTTTTATTAATATATCTCTTTCATGTAATAAGAATTCCTCCTGTTATTTTCTATATATTTATTTATATATACTCTTTAGATTAATGTTCACTGTTATCAAGTTATTTATAAAAATATTTATTTGTAGTTGAATATTTTGCTTCCTTTTAGTCTATGTGCATGCCCTGATCTTGTACATGTGTAATTCAGCATGATATTATGCATTTGATGTAAGAATTATCAACATTTAATGTAACCCTAAATTGCTAATTTTGCAAACACTTGTGTTAGAGTAGATAAAATACCATCTAAAATATATATACAGGGATATTGAAGAAAACTTTAGATATATATAGTTAGCAGGTTGAAGAACAAAAGTATTATTATTCTTTACACAGACATTGCCTTACACTGACTTGTCAGAGTTTGAATCAGACTGATGTTGTCAGTTTAGACGCATCTTGAGTACAAATACTTTTGTAACACATCTGATATCTTGTGTACAATGGACTTGTACTGTTGCATAAAAGCTTGCCACATTTCATGAAGACAGACTTCATAAACTCAGAATTATAGTCAACGTTACTTCTCTAATAGGAGGTTGACTGTTGGCTGAGGAAAACATTAAGGTTGTAAAAGTGTTACCACTATTGTAATAAACAGTTAATCTTGAGGTAATGCCTCTTTTTTTTATTATTATATTACTATTCTATGTACAGATTGCATGCATGGGTAAGACATATGGGTCAGATCCAAATCCTACCCTATGCTACTCTTGAGGGGGCTCTAAGATTATGTGCCTGGTTTAGTGACAATTGGTGCAGCAGTTTCCAGCTATAAGCAAACAGACACACAAAAAGACTTTTGTCAAGTAAAAGTTAAGATATACTGTACGTTGTTAAGAATCAGCACTAAGTTAAAAGAATTACATAAATAATCTTTCTTTAATCATACTGCAATATTTTAAATTAAGAGGGGGAGGGAATAATAAGATAAGAGTAACAAATTTTTAAGAATATAAACTACAAGGCCAAGACCATAACATATACTATACATGTGCATAGAACATTTATCCTTATATACAAGTAATCATAGGAACTGAGCTTTTAACTGCATGTTTCTCCATATTGTGTAATTTATAGAGTGAGAAAAGATTAAAGACCTACTTTTTAAAAGTGACATGTACATGTGTCGATTCTTCCCACCTAATCCTTCCCAGAAGTCCCTTGACTCTGATCCTTCACGTATTTCTTTGATTTCAATACTTATTCCAGAATCAAACATCATCTCTTTTGGCTGCCTACAGTTCACAAAAGAAAAAGTATAAGAATATGAAAATGACGTGAACAGAAATGACAAAATGCAGTACATTAATTTCCTTAAATCTCATCCCTAATACAAGTTAATGACTTTTCACATATGTATAATGATTACAAAGTATGTTTTTCATGAATTGGCTAGATTTAAGAAATAAATGTAATTATAATATGTAATATCGGTATTTTAAGTGTATTCTCAGATTTACTGCACATCAAGAACCCAGAATATTAATACTATCAAAATAAACAATAGCCTGTAAGGTATAAGAGATGTTAACCTTACTATTCACTAGCCTAGAAAAACAATATTAAGATAAATCAAAAGGTAATATTTCAAAACAGTCAAATTAACTTCACCAACTTAATGTAGTTCACACCATAACAGTTGTCATTCATGCAATCTGACAATAGAAACAGTGTCTCAGCCACTAATGTGTCTGTTGTATCCCTGGAAGCCTAATTAGCCCTGGTATTGGGCAAAAGGTGTCATCAGCATTTGATATAGCAGGTACAGAGTGGATGAAACTTTACTTCTTTAAATTTTTAGAATTCAACATAAAGTGAACATATTATCAGCTGAAATGTACCAGAGTTCTAAATTATTAACAGGAACTTGCCTGTCTTTCAACTTCTTTGCAGCAGACATGACAGTCTTCTGTACATCTCTGGGGGACTTAGCCCCATGCCAAACAAATATAATTCCTTTTGAAGTGTTAACTAAAACAAACGATGACCGACTTCGTAGGCTTTGCACACCACGAGAAATTTCCATTAATACAGCTTCAGAAGGAAATGCTCCACGAGTCATGAACATTCTCCATAAACCTGGTATATGAATACAGATGAAAAAAACAAGAAGGAATACAGTTACTATATAATCTATATAGAATTCTATTACAATATTTACAGAATTAAAATTCCAAACAGTTTCCATTTAATCAATGGAAGCTAAAATATATCTTCTGAAAAAATTTTCATCCAGTTAACTTCAAAATTACCAGATAAGAAAACTTGGCAGTTCTTCTTCTTTTTACAAATATTAAAATGAACATTAATAAATAAACACAATAAACTTAATTAGTTAATAAAAGATCTAGAAGTGAAGATCAACTTGAGGTTTCAGAATGAAAAACATTATTTTCAGAAATTATGAATCTTAGAAATAATATCATGTATAAGAATGGAATACAGATTCAATACATACAAATTTCCAACTGACTAAATTATATGTCCTAGTTGCAATGGAAAATGGATGAAAAAACTTGTGTGACCATGTATACTACCTACACATCACACATCTGCATTGCTGAAATCAAATAAATAAATAAATCCTTTCAAAATTAAATTGTTTTTTTATGTAGATTTTAATATGTAAATAATAAATTTTATTAATTCCATTTATTTTTTGAGACTGTAATATACTTAATTGTATGGCATTATTGACCCACTTCCTTTTGAATAATTTCCTAATACTTGTAAGTGCTTCTTTATCCATAACTTTTTCTTTCTACAACTGTTGTGTAATGATAAAAAGAATAAACTCACTTTTGGTATCGGGGTCATCTTCATCACGTTTACCCTTGTACACAATCATTTCACCATTAAATATATTGAGAAAACATGGTGGTTCTTGACCTTCTACGACTCGAACCTAAATATAAATTTAGGATGAAGTGTAAACAGAGAATCATTCTGAAAAATGTTTAACTTCTTTGTATTCTTCAAAGTAACCAACAAAGTTTCATACCAACTATGTGTAACAACTATATGCTTTCAAACATTTAAATGTTTTTTGTTTTTTCTTCACAAATTTATAAAATATCTTTTTTAGGGATATGTAAAAAATAATAAAACTTACATATCCAATGAAATAATCTATTCAATAAGTGTTAAATTTAGATATTTTTCTTTTATCAAATAAACTAAAAAAATGAATGCTTATTGATTTCAGTGTCAAGTTTAAAGGAATGACTATTTTGAGATTTTTTTAACACTTTTCTCACTATTTATATGAGGTAACTTGAACTATTTTTGCAAAGAAAAAATACAAGTCTTTCTAATATTGTAATATTAAGGACTAAAGAGGTTATAAGCAATATTACTACCATATTGTGGGAAAATATTCTTCATGAATATGTAACTAAAAAGAATAAATGAGTTTTAAAAACCTTGAAAAGAATGCACTGAAACTTACATGTGGTCCTCGTTCTTCATCTAATTCAACAGTCATCAGAGCACAAGCTCCCTTTTCTGTAACAGTGGAGTTGAGACCCTGCCAAAAGAAATAAGCACATCGTTTCCTGCCCACTGATGAATGTTTAGATGCTTGTCCAGACAGATCCCGTCCTAAGTAAAACAAACAGCTTTTAAAGTGCTGGAAATTATACATGTTTTCACATTTTTCTTTTACTGTACTTGTTAATAAAACTGGTGAAATGTTTTTATTTAATTCTGTTCTATAAGACCCACAGAGTTAAAACACTACTTGTTGCATAAATCTTTTGAAAGTGAACCAAAAATATTAAACCAAACATGCAGTCCATCCTTTTATGATAAATCCATTTGTGGAATTTCTTTCCACTATCTTAAAATATGAAAGGATTATAACTAGGATATAATAGTATTGTAGTTAGAACATATAATGTACATATTAAAATAAAGGCCACTTTGAAAAACTATGTACATCAAGAAATAATTTGCTTTTCATTCTTGCCAAATGATAGACCTCCATCTAACAATACTGGGTAAACTCAGAACCTGAAAGCGGACAAACAGTCTACAGAATTATAAAAGTAATCTACCCTGAATAAAAAAAAAGGCTCATAAATTTCTATTTTTTAATTAATTTTTATATATTTGATGGAAAAGTGCAATATAAGTAAGGCAAAAATGATCTCACACAAAAAAAGTTAAAACAAAACTGAATAAAATGCTGCAAAACCCATTTCTTATACTCTGTTCTTGCTGGGTTTAGATATACTATCAGAAAGGTGTGTTACTCCAACCACTCACAGTACGACTTATACGAGTATCAAAACTACCTATACCTTACCCTAAAGCTGACCAAGTAATTTTAAAATTGGCACAAATCTGATCCTCATTTAAAGACAAAAGACAGCCTACTGGTGACTGGCAAAGCTAGCTATGTAGCCAACCAGTTCCAAAGGCTGTAATAAGATATGACTGGTTTTGGTTTCAGCAGAGCAGCAATACCAAAGATTATTAGTTGCAAACAAAAATTTGCTACTTATTAGTAAAGAAATTTATGATAAATATGAAATTAGTCACATTTGAAGGAGATATCTGGGCATGTTTTGTTCATCATATATTCATTTATGATTACAGTTAGTACTTCCAGTTGTATTTGATACACCTGAAGACATGCAAGTTAATAATTCTTTTTTTGGCTACCTTATATTCAGGAACTGTTGTCAAGACTTCTAAAATAGTTAACTTCAGCATGTGACAAAATGTCTCCATTTATCTTGTTTGCAGATGTTTAAAACATAATATGAGAAGAATTAGGAATGCTCCTCTATCATTAATCCTACATTTTCAGAAGGATAAAAAATTTACTTAACCTTACTCCTCTGGATAGGGGTGGTGAAAGTGTGTGTGCGTGTCATGACTTTTTTTTACATAGTTACATTCAAAAAGAAATATTCCAATTTTCAGTCTTCACTTTTCTATATCATGTCTCTCCCTGAATTGCACAATTTAGATAATATTTCCACTCCTACTGGAGCTTCTTAATTTTAACACAAAACTACAAATTCATATTATAGACATTACTACGACATAACCTGACTTCATAGCCTCCAATCATCTTGTTTTACTTAGACATAAATCAGAAAGTCCAACCTATATGCCACGTCTTCCTATCATGTATTGTCTGCCAATAATTCTCTTTGACTTTTGCTATTAATTATTTATAACCAACAGAAAGAAACTTTAATTTAGTGATTTCTGTATAATGCTAGCTTTTGAATTATACAATTATTCAGAGTTGCTATCACTGAGTTCAGCTATACTAGCTAAGAGAATTATTTTAATGTACTCATGGCTTAGTTAAAAAGCCAGTTAAATTATAATAGTTACGGGAAATTGTATGCTTTTCACATGTTATTATTTTGTGCTCTAAACTGAATATTTGAAATAACTAAAAATTCCGTAAAGTACTAACAACAACCATAGCAAAAACTAGGATTAACTGTTATTGACACTTTGAGTCTTCAAAAGCAAAAAGTATAAAACCCACATATAAGTACTAAATTTTTTGTTTTTTTATTTATTGTTATAAAAGTAACTAAAATTAGAAACTTTTTAGGTCATATAAGAAAACATAAATTGAAAATAATTCTCCATGAGTTATGCATATGAGTAGCATGTGCATTATGTAATTCAATACCATAACTTGAGCTATGTATTTGTTAGGTGATTTCTACCTTGTTACACAGGTTTAGTAGTCAGACACACAGTTCAAAGAGCAATAAAATATTAACATTAAATAAAATAGAAGTAAACTGTTATAAGCCTGAAGCTGTTCAGGATAAAAAACAAATTTTCTCTTACAATCTGCAGTCATTCTAGAAAGAAAAAAGGTAACTTAGATTCATTTTGTATTTTTTAGTGGTGGTTACAAAGTTGGCGAAATGGACCAAGCCTGTATAGTGTTAAGGTACAGAAAATAACAGATAAAATATAACCTTTTAACATCCATTCAGAAGGATGAAGAGGTTGAGTAAATGAAATTTCAAAACTGTAAGGTGAAAAAAGTATATCTTATTCTAACATGAAAAGTACCTTGTATCCCAACTAGTCAGAGTTTGACTCAAACTCTGACTCCATAAGTTCATAGACAAATCTTTAGTAAAAATACTTAAGTAAAAAACCTAATTACTTGTGTACAAAAGACCTGTAATGTGTACTAAAAGCTTGCCAAATTTTGTTAAGATACACTTATTCAAAATACAGTTATAGTATGTATAGTTTCATGGATACATGCAGTTGCAAGGTTGGTCAAAATTATTGTAAATTGCAGCTCAGAGAGAGCATGTTTTTCAATTGGACAAGAATATTTATTTTTAATCTAAATTTTCCGTAGTTGAAAGAATTCAATTGGTAATTAGGTGCTGTTCATGAGTTTTTCAACCAAATGTTTGCTGGGGATGGAATATGTAAGCTTTTGCATTATATGCCTTATTTTTCATTAATTTCAACAGCTTCTGAAACCCAACTGACAATGATATGAACAAGGATCTTGAAAAGGAATTATATTTTGTGTTATTGGAAAATGGTATTGAACAAGTTCAATAACAACAGGATGTCAATTAGCAAATTCTGTGTACAAGTAAAACAGAGTTTGCTAAGAAGACACACTGGATGAGATGTTACATGAAACATGCTATTTTTGAATTTTTGCCAGTTCACGTTTTAGTTTGCTTTCTCAAGTATTAGAACATGACTTTATATTATGCCTCTTCAGCACAAGAGAAATGCATTGTTTAAAATCACATTCAAATTACGTCCTTGAAAAGACTAAATATATGACCTTAAAACTTTTAGCTCAATAGAATTTAATCTTATTTGATACAAATCAATTAACTCTATCCATGTCAGCAGATCTCATTCAACTGCTGATACCATATGACATAGTATTTACAAGCCATAAGATCTCTTCTCTAAATGTATTTCTTTAAATGATCCACAAGGAATTTAAACTTATTTATCATTAAAATATTCTGGATAAAAATCATCCACAGTTAACAGTATTTATTGAATTCATCAATGAACAACATTAAACATACTGAAAGAGATAAAAACGAAACTTGTTCAATGTATTTTAAATCAATTAATGTTAAATTAACTGGAGAATTTAAAAGAGCAGCTACAATAATTTTCACTGTTTTTCTATAAAACACACTAAACTATATTTCATTGTTCACTTATGAAAATATGTTATATTTTGAATATTGCTACACATTACCAAACATAGAAGAGGCTTAACTCACATTAAGCCTGTTTGAACTTCACTTACTAATGCATTGTGGATTTTCACAACATATTATATGAGTCTACCCTCACTTGCTTATCCTAACAAACACCTACCTGTATTTTTCACTGTATATTGCCATCTTACTACATAAGTGTCTCCACTATGAAATTGTCCATAACTTCCTAAAGGCATTGGACTGTGTTTGTACTCAAGGATGTGCCATACTTTGACACAATTCGTTGTTATTTCAAAGTGCCTACGCTCCTTCTCATCATGATATTCCAAGCCACGCCCTAAATGTGATCCTTCAAGAATGAGGTCAGGCTCTGTACGTTCTTGTTCAAGCATGTTTTTGACATCACATGCTTTCAGTTCAGGCATACCCTCTGTCTGCTGTGATAAATTCAAATTAACTTATAGATATTTGAAATGAACAGTTACGGTAACTTATGTCCACATTTAATTAGTGTAAAAACTTGTTGCATCACATTTATAAGAGCACCTTCAAGACAATAATGCAGAGAAAATCATCCAAAAAGTTGAGGTGTTTCTTTTTCACAATAATGGTAAAGAAAAATAATGACATTAACAATTAATCTAGTCCAATACAAAAATATTATTCAAAGCCTACAGTTATATTCATACTGTCATTACCTAAAACATCCAAAATTCTTAACAATTTATCATAGAGTCAGTAGACTCTATATTTATGGGTTGCCAAGGTACTCACTCAATAGGCATAATACAAATATGTACACTAATAAATCAACAATGACAGAAAGTTTTACTTTAAAAATGATTTCCACTCACTTTCATTTGTTTCTATACCAAACCAGAAAGTGACCAACCCACCAAATTGTTCATCTTTCTTCTTCTTGTTTCAGTCGAGATAATTCTACAACTACTTTATCACTATCATCAGTTTAAACCTAAATCCATTCTGTGTTTCTGAGCAGTGCATGATGTCACTGCTTTGTTGTAATAGCGAGTAGTCATTC